TTCGCTATAACTACAGCTACTGTTTTAAAAATGTAGTCAAAAACTACTGGCTACTTGAAAATTGTAGTTCGCTACAGTAGCGAACTACAACTACTTCGCTACTACCCACTCTTGCGCAAATACACTACATGGAAAAAATATAAAAGCCTCTTAAAATTGAATATAATTTATTTTATTCATGTCAGTGTTGGATGTATAGGATGTGCTTGCCTCTCGTGCGGCTTATATATTGATGTAAAACGTAAAACCAAGTTTCTGACATTTAATAAATTGTCTCACTTCACTGTTCACAGCTTATAGTTCGTCGCAGGCGCTCGCTTCCTTTTCGTAGCCTGTCGTAAATCCTCGACACTCGGACCTCGCCCGATAAGCTTGTCAAGAGATCTAAAGTTAGCGTGATTGCGTGCGTAAATTTTGTGTTGTGATCCATTTAAGTGTTCATTGAGATCTTCGTATGTCACGTTACATGGTTCACAGTATCCTATATAATGCATGGTAGAAAGAATTTTATTATTTAGAATTATAAGGGTAAATTTCAACTATACTAACCCTGCTCCCTACTTTAATATTTTAATCTTTATGACTGATAATCAAGTGGCAACGCATCCTAATGCACCCTACTCAGTTATTATTTTGCTCTGTCTAACGCCAGACGATTTAATTTACTCATAGAGAGACTGCCATTCAATGAGTTAACAACTTCAATTTAAATTTTACAGGACTAATCGGATCCAAACACTTACCCCAACGATAGAATATTGAAAGTCGCCCTACTAACACAGGAAAAAAATTAATTTCATTAATTAATGGGTTTTGAATGGTTTTTAAAGATTTACCATGTAAGATTTCCCATATGTAAAATTGGTAAAAACCATGATGGTTAATATTTACCATTGATGGTATTTTCCTGGTAAATATTAAACATCATGGTTTTTACTAATTTACCATACAGGAAATCTGTATTAACCAATACTAGTATTAAGAGTTCAGTTTTTACATTCAAAAACCCATTAATGGAAATTTAATTTTTTTTCGTTCTGTGATTAGAATGGTGTTTCCGTTTACAGAACCCATAATAAATGATAAATTTCCCAATGTGCTAACTTCCTGTTAACATAAAAGCTAACTGGTCTAGGCTATATCACAGGTTCGGGTCTTTGACAAACTTGATTTATTACCTTGCATGTATCACCTAATATTAATTTGGCTGAGAACGTTGCTAATTACATATTAATTTCCTAATTAGCTATTAATCACACATGTCATCAGTACAATACAGCCTTTTCATAAATGGCTGCCGATTAAAAATTCTTTTATGTGCATATAAATTGGCCCAACTAGCCTCGTTTCTGAGTAGAAATTCCTTTGAAATCTTAACATGAGTACGAGGCTAGTTGGGCCAATTTATATGCACATAAAAGAATTTTTAATCGGCAGCCATTTATGAAAAGGGTGTATGCTATTTAGTGGGTGTGTGCTTTTGTAAAACGATTTAACAATGAATTGACATTTTAATTTTCTCACTGACCTGACTGTTTGAGCTTTCGTTTTAAATTCTTTTCGTTACGTTTGATCTTAGAGGGCTTCTGGTTAGTTTGGTCAAATGGACACGCCCTGGAATCAATATGAAGTTTTGGCCACTCATCCAATTCCTTTACCAGAGGTCTATATTTCCTAGAACATGAATTTATCCTTTAATTGACTCAGTTCTTGTAAACTCGTAGGAAAGTCAAAGCTAAAGTTTATGTAAATCACTGACATGATTATTTATCACATATACTAAAACACACCGACACGGTAGTGATTTCGTTTATCTTTTCCTTATGAATTATTAATGAGTTTTTTAAATGGATTTGTCAAACCATAGCCTATCGAAGGGAAGATGGCTGTGAAACTCATTAGAATAACAGTATAACTCATTATCTATGTTGGTCAAGTGACGGTCAACGTTTATTCATAAATCTGGTCCTTCACCGTCACGTGTGTATTGTATTCTTGCCCAACTAACCAATAGCAATGTTTTAGGAAAGTCACCTATCCGTGACTCGAACAATAGGGAAACTGGAAATTGTTATTGGTAGATTTGGTAAAAATACAATACACACGTGACGGTGAAACGACCAGGTTTATGAATAAACGTTGACTAACATAGATAATGAGTTATATTGTTATTCTAATGAGTTTCACAGCCATCTTCCCTTCGATAGGCTATGGTCAAACTCGGCGCTTTAAATTTTTGGTGTACATGATATGTTACATGACGTTTTATACCAGATTTCGTTAATTGCCTACCCATGAAACTCTTCAACTTTTATGAACGTTCCCTTGAGTCGTCTCACGCGAGGAGTTTCTCGTAGCGTTTGACTTGCTTTCATTCGTTTTTCAACGTCGCTCAACCATTGGTTCACAGCAAGCAGAGATTTCACTTTAATACCCCAATTTTCTGCAGCTTTTATAACCTCATGATATTGGCATGAATATTTCAAATTGACTTTCTTCAGAACAGAGCTCATACGAGTTGCCTATCGAACGAAGAAGATAATGAAACACAAATGTACTCTAAAACACTCTGATTAAAATTTTACTGGTTATTATAACCTAGAAAGAACCATATTGCATTGGCATATGGGGATAACTTAATAATAATTTCACTTTTTTCTACTATAGTAATACCTACTACAGAGGAGGATCTTAAATTATTCCAGAGAAGACGAGGTTTCTCTTAATAGGTAGGTTCTTGGTCAACTATAGTACGTTTCGTACTGCCTGTAATTCTTTCATAACTATAATTCTTTCATCAGTTTTTATCAATCGAATTTGATAGCAATTGAAATCTTTAAATAAAATCAAAGTTGGGTCTTCACATACATATCTCGTTTCAATGTGAGGTTTTGGTCTAGCTCGAGTATTGTATTCTTTGTTTTCAAGACGCTGCTGTTCTGATGATATGACAAAATTTATTCCTCTGTGGAAAAACTTGTCAACAACCTGATGAATATGCAAAAATAATTTGTGTCGTTTTTGTGAAAAAATAACGCATAGAGTAGATATACTTGTTACGACACAACAACAACAATAACAACAACGACAACGACAACGACAACGAAAACGACAACGACAACAACAACAACAACAACAACGGAAACAGAAACAGCAGTAACAACAGCAGCAGCAACAGCAGCAACAACAATAGCAACAGCAGTAACAACAACAGCAATAACAGCACCACCAACAGCACCACCAACACCAACAACAACAACAACTGCAAATAAACACGTTGCAACTCCTCGAAACACTCTGTGCAATCATTTTGATTACCATAACATGGCTATACGCGATATTAATTAGTGATAGGAAAAGCTAGTGGTCTTTCTTCAAACATGAGTAAATCATCAAACCTACTTACTGCTCCAAAATTGTTTAATCTTTTTTCCAATTTTTGTGTCTTCTGAGAATATGGTAAATGGATATAAAAAGACTGGCCTTTGAGTAAGTTGCTCCATTTTTCTTTTTTGTGATATTTTCTTGGACTTGAAATGCGAGCTGAGGCCACTTTCATGAAAGTTGCTGCATCTAGTTATTGGATGTTCAGTGGCCAATTTCACCAAAATGGAGCACCAGGGTATTGTGACGTCACTGATTTGAAGTTTATTAAGCCTGCGCAAGCAGTGTTCAGAGTCAGAGGTTCAGAGTGTTGTGCCACAGAATAGGAAGGTACAGCAGAAGCGTAACTCAAGCAAATATTTGTCCGCGTTTTTACAAGCGATTCGTCACCAATCACGCCATCCTGGCTAGTACATGCCGGCACTTTGTACCTACCAAATTTTGACCCGATAAAAACTTCCGGTTGTACTAGCCAGGATATCGTGGATTGGCGTGAGCGAGTTAAAATTTTCGTGGACGTAAAACAATAAGGGAAACGACTAGAGTTTAATACGCTTCTGCTGCCGGTACCTTCCTATTCTGTGGTTGTGCTGTGCTGTGTTGTGTTCGGTTCGATAAATCATGCGGAATCCACTCAATCAAACAGAGAACAAAGAACGCGATAAATATATTAGAGGTTACATTTATTATTAATTAGAAAGTACAAAATGTGCTTATAACTAAATCTATGCAAACTGAAATTTCGTGCGCATTTACAGTCAAAGCCAGTTAATTTCTACAGACTATATTATAGTTCTAAGACAAAGGTTCGTAGCGCGGTAGCGGTCAATAAATCTGTGTGTTTTTAAGGTCTTTGAAAGGTCTTTGAATTATATAAAAAAGCAAAGAAAATCTTCAAAAGTCTTTCAATTCTTTCTTAATAAAATAGATAAATTATAGCAATGGATTTCCGAGAAGATGTGATTATGTGGCAGGACTAACTACCGGGAAAAAATGGCGCTCATGTACATTATTTCTTTCAAAGGTCTTTGAAAAGTCTTCGAAAATTAATATGCAGGAATGAGTCTTTGAGACTACCGGAATTTCACTGACTTGTGCGAGCTAAGTTACATAACTGTGCAGCTAGCTTATATGTTCTAGGTCTGACTTCTCCCAGTCGTTTCGGCCTTAGAGAATATTAGTAATTTAGAAAACTGTGTACGGTTCAAAGCGCGGAAATGAAAGGTATACGGCAAACGAGTTTACACGACTTCTCCCTAAATTTCAGCATTTTTTTTTTCATTCATCTCTCCAGCGACTGGAAATGAGACAGTTCCTATAGTGAGTTGGCATTAGAAATTAAGAAATTAAAAATATCATTACGAGCATGCATTATTCTCTAGAACATGTAGTGTTATGAATACATGGCTATCAAAATATTTTCAAGCAAAGCAGTACAGCCAGTAAGGTTAAAGAGATAGAAAATTGTACGGTCGAGACTCCGCCTTTTATCTTGGAAGGGTTGGTCAGATCCTCAAAACCTTCAATGACTGATTCACAACTATCTTTGATAGCATCGCGTAGTTTATCTCTCCAACTCTCGAACTCTCCTTTCAAAAAGTCCAACCTCTTCGTCGATTTTGAAACACTGTGAAAAATTGAAAGGGAAGTTTAATAAAGGCCATGTTATACAAGGGCAACAGGACCGTCGTCCAATCAAATTTGACCCCTCCCGTTCCGGAAATACGTCATCTTGGCTGTAGAGCCAGGTACAATGTCAGGTACACACGTAAACACGCACAAGTTGTAACAGACCTGCAGCAGAATTGCATAGCAATGCTGTTCCAACAACTTGTCCACAGGATGTGTTCGCACTGCTTGTTAAAAAGTTGTCAACGGCTAGTTGTTGATAACTTAACTGCTACAAGGTTAATTGTTGAGCACAACAGATTTGTTACAATTTGTTCGATCACCCTGAAATTCAACAATTTATCAACAAGTTGTGAGTGACAACCTTGTAGCAACTTGATAAAATAACAGCATTGTTACAACTTGTTGACAAGCTTGCTACAAACCTGTTGTGAAACATTTTGTTGACAAGTTAATAGATCTTTCCCCTTATAACCAAAATTTTGATCTAGGCAAGTCTAAACAAATATTTCATCACAGCTTGAAAGAGCATCACAAAATTAGTAATATTCCAAAGTTTCGTTGCGAAATGTTGTAAAATGAGGAAAATAGAGCCTTGCGAAGTTCGCAATTTTCAGTTATTTTGCATTACAAACGGGAAATTGCAGCCCCAACACCCGAATCGGATGTCAATTTCCCGTTTGTAATACAAAATGACTGAAAAATGGCAAACTTCGCAAGGCTATATTATCCGCATTTTACAAGATTTTACAACAAAACTTTGGAATATTACTAATTTTGTGATGTTCTTTCAAGCTGTGATGAAATTTTTGTCTAGATCGAAATTTTAGTTATAAAGGGAAAGGTCCATTAACGTGCGAGATTTTTACGTGTGGACACGAAAACGAGGCTTTGTAGCCAAAGTGACGTACTTTCCAGAAGGGTGTATTTCTTTGCAACGCGTTTCAGACAATCAGCCAATCACGACATATATCACTGCAAAGTGTTATTTTTGTGAAAAGATTGCGTAATATGGCCTAAAATCAAAGTATGAGTAAAAGGCAGGTCTATCCAGACATTTTATGAGCTCAGCGTTTGACATACCATTCCATAGCTCTATTGCAATCTTTCCTCTTATTTTTTATCTCAACAATATTTTCATCAGTTTCGGAGCAGTAGATGGGCATACACGGTAGCTCACGGACGGTTTTCAAACAGTCTGAGTCCCAGACAACATCGAGCAAAGTGTTAGCGTCATCAAGAAGATCTCTCAGCGGTTTAAAGGTGTCGGACTGTATCTTGTAGGCTTGAATGTAGACTTCTGGCATCTAGGAAAAAATATGCAGGCATCAAGTTAAATTCAGTGGCACCACCACAATTTTTTTCCGCAGACAGTTAGACACTTCTGCGTCGGCTACGTGGCTGTCAAATTCAATATGGTGCCAAGCTAAGGAATGAAATTTTACTGTTGTCTTTCCTTCTCTTTGGTTGGAAGAACGTCAATTGTGAAATGCCAGGTATGTTTTGTATGAGAAATTTACTGAAACGATCCGGAATTTTCAAACGGAAAAGATGTTCCTGAGATTATGCACATCAGCGCATGTGGTTTAGTTAAGGTTTCCTCCTGTAGCTGGTAACACTGGCCCAATATAAGGACGATCCTTACTGGACCTTTAGGGAGAAGATTTTAGAACTGGCAATATACACGCCATGCACTCAAACATTCAAGGTGCCACAAGAGCCTGACAGCGACTGCTCCTCACCACAGTGAATATTAACAATAGATCAGTCAATAATCAATATCTTGCTGTGATATTGCGTGGGTCATTCTAATTAAACTATGTATAACATGATCACAATGTTATAGAGTTTTTCCTTTTGTTGGTGCTCTTTAAGGCTGGTTTACACGGGCTGCATGTCAAAGTTTCTGTGATCACAGTAGGAATTCTGTGTATTGGTAAATTCTAAGTTTTGAAGGACTCATAAGAACTGTCAAGTTTGGGGGTACTGACTCGGCTCGGGTGAGGCTAGTTAATTGAAGTGCTAGTACTTGACTGAGTCAGTTAAGGCGGCAAAGACTAAAGAATAAATAAAGACAAAATCAAACAGTTTCAAAGCCAATACAGCTTAGATATTTGTTTGCTTAGCGGATTTACTCAGACAAAAGCACTTACATTTCTTTCGGAAACGAAGACAGTAAAAAACAGTCAAATTTATATGCATCGTATAGAAGAACGTAAAATATTGAGTTGGAATGCAGTGAAAGATCATGCACGAGGTTGAGACCACCTATTGCTCTAATATAACTCATGTCGACAGTATTAAGCATGTTTTGAATCGAATATTAAATATCTGGCATGAAACCGAGAAAGCAATTAGACCTTTTCGGAAACCTTGTGTTGAAATTAAAGGCTCCTCATGCATGTCAGTGCAGAAAAGCCGAAGAAAAAACTTAGGCGGCAGGAAAACGAGTAAGACGTGCTCAGCAGTTCGGAGACATTCACTTTACCGTGTAATGATGAACAAGCTGAGGAGAAACTAGTAAAAATGTTTCTACTTGTTAGCAGATGTCATGCTGAGGTTATACATACCGGTAATAAGCAATTAATTTGCCTTGTTTAAAAATAGCAATTGTTTGAACCGACGACAAGGCATGCTCTGAAGCAAAACGTTGCCAGACAGACCTGCCGGACCGGCATTTCGTCGAGAAAAACGTGCTCATATCACTGCAAATACTTTATCTGAACGCAAAACCACGCGAAGTCTATAGCCTTGCTTTGACATTGGTAAACTTACTTTTTTTGTAGGTTGAGGACAACCACCTTCCTTGAAATCTTTAACAGTCTCGCATGTCAGATCGGAAAACTCTCTTTTCAAATATCTCGCACATTCCTCAGTGTAATTCAAACTTTGTTGACCTGAAATAGACGGGCATGTTTCGTAAAGCTCGGTACACACACGTCTTTCGGCACTGTCATCACCAGATGTTCGATCTTCTAAACACAACGGACTTGCATCTTTTGAGCATAATGCTTTCTTGAGAGGATCACCACATTTCGATGCATCTTCACCGGTGTCGACTTGGTCATCAGATATCGTGTCTTCTTTACCCAACTTTTTAATACTTTCAGCGACGTCGTCAAAATTGATCAGGTTATCTGTACAGAATGTTTCCTCCTGTAAAGCTGGGCATAGATCTTTTTTCTTCATAGTAACCCACTCATCATCTTCTGCAAACACATTTTGTGCTGCGAAAAACAAGACGAAAAGACAAACACACCTCATTTCACAACTTTTGACTTGATGTACTGTTGCAAGCAGGCGGAGAACTCGCTGAAAAAACGGAGTGCAGAGTTCCTACGGAGACAGTGGTTATTTATCGATGCCTCGATGACGTACGAAATGGCAATTATTTGGAATTTGCAAGTTAATTTCTTGCATCAGTAAACCTGGAAGCGAAAAGAACTGTCCTGATTGGCTAATATTAAATTGCCTGTCGTTTTCTAACGGATTATTAATTAGGCAGTTAATAAAGTCCTGACACCCTACGGTTATGATTTATTAAAATAGCAATCTCTCAGTGCCCCCTCAGTGAGTCAGTGTGAGACTCATGGAAAATCAACTGGAATATTTTAATATCTGGTACTATAGTGTGAAGTATTTTTGCAGTATTCTAGTTGAGAGTGTGCTTATTTCAAAGGTTACGCCAAATTAAATTTCCCTGCGAAGACCATTTAGTGTGTCTCCTAAGTCGAGTTCAATGCATTTTTCTACTGATTTAATTTAAGAACCTTTTAGTAAATTGGCCCGGCATTATTCGTGTAGACGTACACATACTATACCCTATGCACCCTTCGGATAGTTCGAGAAAGTACTTTTTTCAGTCAGTCTTCAGCTATATATATATAGCTTCGTTAACGAGATTGAGATATCGGCTTTACGGCTCGGAGACACACCAGACGCGATTCGCCAACGAGGAGTGGATTTTTCAGTTTTTCAAAGGTAAGTTATAAAACAGCCATGAGAGGAAATTTGACAAGAATATGTAGACCAAACAACTCAACACAATGTATATATATATATATATATATATATATATATATATATATATATATATATATATATATATATATATATATATATATATATATATATATATATATATATATATATATATATACACATATATATACATATACATAATATATCAACATACATACACTTAACAGCTGCATGAGAAGGATTTCCGGTGAAGATCTCAGATTGAAGATGTATTTGAGAACTGGCACAACTTTCCTAATGGTCAAATCAAATATACAACGTTTGATTACAAAATAAAGCCTGAAGTGAATTACTCGGTATTACGGTATACAAGATAGCCGTGCAGCCAAGTCTTGGGAGAGAATAGCAAGGCTATGGCCTTGACTGGAAAGTTCGGAATTTACGCACCCATGAGATTTCGAAATTTTAATAGTAAATATATACTAAAGCATAAAACTTCATTTATATTGGATAAGTTTACATATAGACATAGTCAATTAGCCTTTCTCACGCGCCGCCAATTTTGGGTGGCATTTCAGCCGAAGTTTGCGAGATAAGTCCTGCACACTTTTTATATTTTTTTTTGACAAATGATGCGAGTAAATTTACTTTGTAAATGGTTAGTTTATTTTGAAAAATTGCTTTTCACATTGTTTTAACTGCATTGATTAACGAGAATTAGATGCCACCCAAAAATGGCGGATATTAATTCGTCATCGTGAAAAAGCCTAATTAAACATAATTACGAGAACCACTCAGTATTTATCACATACTGTATAAAACACGACGCGTAGCGGAGTGTTTTATATGTGATAAAACACGTCGACTACAAGTGCTTTAAATGGCTTCAAAAACTCATCTTATACGAGTTCATTGGCGAAGTAATTTTTAAAATAAACTTTGTCTAAACCGAGAAAATCAAAGCTAAAGTTTATGTAAATTAACATGATTTTTTATCACATATAAAACCACGACACGCTTATGATTTTTCTTTGTGTTTTCCTCCTGAATATATTATTAATGAGTTTTTGAAGAAATACAAAATAACAATTTTTACAGTAACTCCGAATAACATTTTGATTTTTAATCCACGTTTCGACTAGTCATAGTTGATTAAAAATTAAAACGTTATTCGGAGTTACAATTGAACATAGTTCAGTAATTTCGCCTGAAAGTCTGCAGTGACATTGTAATTATTATAGCACAAATGAAGACCGGACTTGAATCGAAATCTTCGCCAAAGCTGAGGCAAAGAAATAAATGTGTGCACAAAACAAAACAAAACGAAGCAGGCAAAACAAAACAATTATATTTATTTTTACCATGGTAAGTGTAAACCCACAAGGTCAAGGATCTTTTTGTGCTTCATATAACAAAGATATCTTTAACTTTAAAAAGAAAAATACACTAATTATCGCATGGTCCAAACACAAAATGCGTCAGAGAAACTTTTTTATCTCCAAATTACGGCAAATAGAAATATTTCGAAAGTTATTAGCGTAATTGCCTGAATGTCTATACAAGCCCTGTCTTCTGTGATATGTGTGTACTGACCAAGGTAAAGTTCTTTATCTCCAAATTACGGCAAATAGAAATATTTCGAAAGTTATTAGAGTAATTGCCTGAATGTCTATACAAGTCTTGTCTTCTGTGATATGTGTGTACTGACCAAGGTAAAGTTCTTTATCTCCAAATTACGGCAAATAGAAATATTTCGAAACGGTTATTAGCGTAATTGCCTGAATGTCTATACAAGTCTTGTCTTCTGTGATATGTGTGTACTGACCAAGGTAAAGTCTAAGCTCGCCAACATTTTTGGGAAAAATAGTGGCCAGAAATAAAAAAATTGCTGCATGGCATCATCGGTTTTGGCAGGGCAATTCTAGCAGACATCCCCCGAATTAAAAGGGGCTAGTTTCGCCCCTGAGTCTAAATTTATAAATTTATAAGATTGCCATTTAGATTATACGAGTTTAGATTACTGATGAATATATGATGTTTGTGATGTTACTCTGAGTATGCATCCACGGTGGGAATCGGTGTGGATGCATACTCAGAGTAACATCACAAACATCATATTCACCTGAGTACCTGATAACACCAATTACACACACACAGAAATGATGAATATATGTTTTACAAACATGTTATAATATTTACATTTTCAGTTTACTCTGTCTGTGCGAGTGTAGGTAGTGCCAATAATATTAACAAGCTTTCATTGGTATAGGGATGCAACTACCTGAAAAATATAATATTTACAGCCAATCCAATACAATTGCTTGAAATTAAAGTAGCGCATGCACTAATAAGTAGCCTGCGAAATAGCGACTATCCTGATCGGCTTATCTTATGTCATTTTCTGACGGTTAATTTTACTGAAAGACAATTATTCCGGCAAAGTACCGATTCCTCAGTGTAATATATACTGAAAAATACTTCCTATACTGGAACATGGGCGTACCGGAAGGAAAAAATTAAGGGGGCGGTAAGAAAATTGCCCGACTTTTCGGGATTCTGCCAGACTACAGAAAAATTTTTTCCCGGAAAATTTATTTTGGCGACCCC